ATAATTGTGGTGATCTAAACGGCAGAAATGGATTTAAAAATTGGGGTAAATTTATTTCATACATTCTAGTTTTAATACTGATAATTTCCTCCTGATTGTTTACAGGATCTGTAAAGGAAGATGGCCGAAAGTTTCAAAAGAAAATTAAGATTAATTTCATTTATCTTCGTTAAAATTGTTTAATTATATTTTTATTGAATTAACTATAATACATGTTTATTATTTGATAATCATTTTTAAATAAACTTACATAATTTTAAAATAAATATAAAAAAATATATATTTTTTCTTTAACAAAAAGGGAAGACAAATGCAAATAGGATTGTAATCTACATACATTACATTCTTATTTGCAAGCGTTTATAGGCGTCCATTAACTTCGCTTAGAACTCCACACATTATGTAAGTGAAATTTTAATTTGTCCTAATGATATTGTGGCTTACATTCTAAGCGAGAGCACATCGATGTGGCAGCCTAGGACACTTTTATGTTAAATCTAAGTAGAAGAATAAGTGAAAGCATCACCACTGACTGCCACGAAATATCACTTAGATAAGCGAGTACATAATGTATATTTTTACCGCTGGGTTGTTTTGTTTCCTCTCTTTGAGTGTAAGTTGTTAGTATTAGTGTTAATAGAGAAACATCTTATTGAGTTTTTTTTATACCCTACACCACCATCATCAAAGTGGTATAGGAAAAAAAAGAGGGAAATAATTCGGTAACTTCTAAACGGTTAATCCGATGTTAATGAAATTTGGTATGCACAAAGAGGAGGTGTTGTCGAGTTTAGGTTTTGAATTTGGACCTTATAGGCCAACCAGGGGCCCGGCGGGGGGTCCTCAAATTAGGACACCTCGGCTATGTTAAATTTTTAAAACGATCCTATTTCTTCATTTGAGTTCCGATTTAAAAAAAATTCCTTTTTTTAATTTTTTAAATTAAAATGCCTATAACTTTGGACTCAGTCATGATTTTTACATAATTCTTTCACTGCTTGATATATAAACTTGTTGTTCAGCGAATTAAAAAAAGAATTGCGAAAATCGGGAATATTTGGACCCGTTATTATCAAAAAACTAAAGTAAGGACGGTAAAAATTTTTAAATTTTAATTTTCAAATGCTAATATCTCCTAAACTATAAGAGATAATTAACTGCTACGACATTTTTTATAGTGCTCGATGAGGAGATTCTATATACGAAATTTTTTTTAAATCGGAACTCAAATGAAGAAATAGGATCGTTTTAAAAATTTAACATAGCCGAGGTGTCCTAATTTGAGGACCCCCCGCCGGGCCCCTGGTTAGCCTATAAGGTCCAAAACCTAAACTCGACAACACCTCCTCTTTGTGCATACCAAATTTCATTAAAATCGGATTAACCGTTTAGAAGTTACCGAATTATTTCCCTTTTTTTTCCCTATACCACTGTGCATCAGTGGTGATAGAGGGTATATATAAGTTTGTCATTCCGTGTGTAACACCAAGAAATATTCATCTGAGACCCAACAAAGTGTATATATTCTGGGTCCTTATGAAATTCTGAGTCGATTTAGCTATGTCCGTCTGTCCGTCCGTCCGTCCGAAGCAATGGAAATTAACGAAGTTCAGCAAAAATATTCATTATATACAGTTTGGTATTGAAAATGAGCAAAATCGGTTCACATAAAAATAAAAAGAAAAATGGGGTTTGTAATGTTCAATAAATCTTGGAATTGTAACAGATTTAAGCTGTTTAAATCTTGGGGTTTTTCTATTTAAGACATGAGAAAACTTATTTCTACAAATATTTGATCAATTAAAAAATATTAATATAAAAGTAGCTGGTGGAGGGTATTTAAGATTCGGCTCAGTCGAATATAGCAATCTAACTTGTTTTAAATTAAATATATTTGGATGAAATGGGAAGGCTATAGTTGTTTTTGTTTTCAATGAAGAAGAAAATGAAATGGAATGGCAATAGTTATTTTTGTTTTCAGTGAAGAAGAAAATTAAATGGGAAGGCAATAGTTGTTTTTGTTTTCAATGAAGAAGAAAATGAAATGGGAAAGCAATAGTTGTTTTTGTTTTCAATGAAGAAGAAAATGAAATGGGAAAGCAATAGTTGTTTTTGTTTTCAATGAAGAAGAAAATATTTTTATGAAATTTGAGGATGTAAATAATTTTTTATAAAATTGTGAACTTGCAGAAGGGAAGAAATTATTTTTTAATGAAAATTGAGAATGTATAATAATACATACATATGTATGTAATTATGTTAAAAACCCATACAAAAATACGTTTTAGCATGGAGACAATTTTTTTATTTTTAGCACTTTTAATTGTGACGAAATTAGAAACTGATGACTTGCATAAATAGCGTATTGGTAGTTTTTGTTTATATGAGTAATGTAGAATAATTATTGGTGTGTTAATAAAAAAACGGAACATTAATTCCCGTTGAATTTAACCTTGAATTTAAATAAGTAAACAGTTCCATGGAGTTGGGTTGTTGACCCAAATTAATTGCATATTCAAAATATTTGTAATTACCCTAAAACTCTTTTAAACAAAATTAATCAAGAAAAAATTGATTTATACAAAAACTAAAAAATGTGGAGTAAGCTAAATTTATTAACTTTTACAGACATACATATAAGTATGACAATTTGACAATTTCAATCATGTTATATTGAAATGAAGTGAACGTTTAAGTGTGAATCGATTCAGTTTACTTTAGCTATGTTTGTATGTATGTCTATCTAAAAGAAGTAAGTTTATTATGAATCCATACTCCAATGTGCACATTTCAATATTCGCTTCATGTGAAATTGTAATAATTATTTTAAATAGTGACTGTTTGAAAATACCTTACAATTTAAAGAAAACAGATATTGAACTATATGCACCCATATGATTTAATATAACTTGAAAAATATTTGAAAGATTCAAATTAAATTAATGCTCAATATAGTTAAAATTTAAACATTTAAATATATAATATTTAAAATAAACAATTACAAATATAAACAAAATAATTAAAAAAGTGTTTTATTAAAAACTTTTGTCATCGCCAATAATCAAAAATGCATAAAATAAGTCATGCACCCACTCCAAGCAGTGCTGCTGCAGAACAATCAACATTTAATGGTTTTATTAAAAGGGAGAAGAGTGCATTCAAAAACAGAATTATCACATTGTCATACAATACCAATAACGAAGAATGCCTCATACCAGAAATATTGTTAAAAGAAGCTGGGAGAGAATTTATGGAGGAAGTCTATAAATTTTTAAAACTTAACATTGGTTTGAAGTTTAATGTAGAACTCCATGCGCTTTATGCTAAGCCCAACTTAGATGATTTAGAAAACACGCCATTAGATGTAAAAGTCTTCAATTCATTATAATTTTTTTGTGATCTTATAAAGCTACAAATGAAATTTCATTAAAATTGAACAATATTTATAAAAGGTACCAACACAGTTCCAAAAATACTACCCATACCCTTTTTCTCCATTGAATTACCCAAATTTATGTATTTTGTTTAATAAATTGTGTATCATTTCAGAAATTAATGTTGAAAATATGAGTCCTGTAGAACATTTATTAAAAAAATCATGTATCTCCCCTTTCTTCCTCCCTTTTCCTCTTTAATGATGTTTTTCAAAAACTCATTACTTACTATCAAAAGTACTTATTTTGCCGGTTTTCACCCATTTTCCCCCTTTTTGTCTATAATGTCCGCCAAGTATAGATCTAACTTTGTTACAAATTTTTATAAAATCGGTCCAGCCGTTTAGGCGTGATTGACGAATAAACAAACAAATTAACAAACAAACGAACAGACTTACAAAGAGATTTATATTATATATTAGGAATTAGGTTTTAAGGATTAGGATTTCATACAGCGATATTTAAAATTAAAGTCAGATAGGACATTTATTAAAAGAAAGTAAAAAATTCCCTTTTTTACCCACTGGATAGATGCTTTGCAAAAACATAATTTTTTAAATCATTGTGTATTTAAGAAATTTCATAAAAGTGCCAAAATAACAAATAATTATACTTTTTAATTAGTTAAATTTAAATAACCCAAAAATATGATATTTGTTAGTCCCTTGCTCCATTAAAATATTAATATTTAAAATTTGATGTCTTTTGGAAATTTTATACAGCAAACATCGATCTAGCCGTTTAGACGTGATTGACGAACAAATAAACAAACGAACAGACTTACCAAGAGATTTATAATATATATTAGGATTTGATAGACATCATTTTATACAGCAAACATAGAATTCCTTTCTTTACCCGTTTTTGCCCCCATTGGGTGGACTTCCAAAATATGCACATTTCCGATACTATAAAAAGCGCAGTTGATATAGAACAGATAAAAATTAGTCTCAAAGCACAAAAGTACTAATTTTGCCCGTTTTTTCCCCTTTTGTCAAATTTTTGATACTTTAAAACGCTTAATGGAATATATTTTGGCTTAAGCAAAGACAATAATTGGTATTTATGCTTAAAGGTACTAATTTTGACCGCTTTTCACCCATTTACCCCCCTTTTTGCGCCCTCCTAGTGCAAGTTTTGAAAAACGATATAGCCTATAACACCCTCCAATGATAGATCTACCTATGTTCCAAATTTCAAGAAAATCGCTCTAGCCGTTTAGGCGTGATAGACGAACAAACAAACGAACAGACTTACAAAGAGATATATAATATATATTATTATATACCTAATATTAATAATAGTACAAAGAAATGGAACCTCATGTAGTAGTTTTCAGATTTTATGGACCTGAATTTTATTAGTTTGGTAGCATTACGCAATCCAAGAATGTGATTTTTTTATTTTAATTTTTTCTGTTATTTTTATATAAACCTTGTTATCCTATAAACTGAAGACTGAATTAATTTGTTATTTTACTTTTTATTTCTTTTCCTATAATATTTAAAAAAAATAGATATTAAATGAATTGTTATAAACAAATAAGAAAAGCTTTTTAAATTATAAGTATGTTAGTTTATTCATTTAAAGATCGCATAATTCTATTTCTTATGTCTTTTGCTAAAATATCTTCATTTTCACCCATGTTCACTATTGCCTCTTCCATAAGTACTTCCGTTGGTTCCTCCTCCCAATCAGCTTTGTAATGCTTTCCAATGTTATACAATGCACAACACGCATTTACAATTGAAACTGCTTTATCGGAATTATAGTGCAGACCACGTTCGGCAGAAAGGCATCTAAGTAATGACTTTAGAACACCGTTCGTTCGCTCAATAATATTCCGGGCCTTTGCATGGATAGTATTATATTTCCCTTCTGGCGAATGCGGTTCTGCTGAACGGTAGGGTGTCAAAAGTTGCTGTTCCAAAGGAAAACCACCATCACCTAAAGAATTAAATAAATTTGAATATAACCTAGTAGTCATGTGTTCTGTCCAAAATCTGCGACAATCATTTGCTTCAAAGCGCTATTGTTCCATATATAGGCATCGTGAGTAGAACCGGGGTGCCTGGCGTCTACATACCGTATACGCATTTTATAATCACACATCTATAAAGAAGTTATCACAATTAAAACAAGTACATAAATGGTAAACATGTATTAAATAACTTACCAGTAAGACAACCTTTTCTGTTTAAGTATAAATGTCGAACATCTTCCTTAGAACCCATGATGTGTACGTGTGTACCATCTATACAGCCTACAACTCCGGAAAACTTTGTTTTTGAATAGAAATAGTTTTGGTTTTTTCCTCTTCCGTCATTTTAGAAACTATCCAAATTTTTTCTTCTAATAATTGTACAACTTCCTTCAATACCACAGACAACCTAGGCTTAGCCATTCCCAAATTAAAATCGTTGCAGTGTGATTTTTGGAAACTTCCTTCCTTCTTTTAACTTTTAACAGCGGAGGTATTGCTGTTGTCCGATGAATTTTTATATCGTCCTTATAGAGAGTATCCACTAAATAGATCACAGCATCCTTGGAAAGACGAAAATATGCCTTAAAACTAGAAAATTTGTTTATTAAAGTAATTATACTTAAAAACAGATGCATTTATATGCATGCATATGTACAGTGAATCAACTAAGTTTTTTGCCTACCTATTTTTAAGAGAATTTTGTTTTTTGTTCAAAAATAAAATTCGAAAAAACAGGTAAAAAGTGAATTTATGTTTTCCAATTAAAAATAGAGATTGTGTAAAATGGGAAAACCAAGAAAAAAATATTAAAATACAAATTTTGGTGCATTTGTTGTTGCATTTTATTATTTTTCATCAGAATTTGCAAGTCAATAAAGTATTTTGCATTTTTTATACCCTTCACCTTCGTGAGAAGGGTATATTTAAGTTTGTCATTCCGTTTGTAATTTCTATAATATAATTTTCCGACCCCATAAAGTATATATATTCTGGATCCTTATAGATAGCGGAGTTGATTAAGCTATGTCCGTCTGTCTGTCCGTCTGTGTGTTTGTTGAAATCAGTTTTTAGAGGCCCCAGATATCGGCTTGATCCGAATCTTCAATAATTCTGTTAGACATGCTTTTGAGAAGATCGCTATTTAAGATCAGCAAAATCGGTCCATAAATACCGGAGATATGAGCAAAAATCCGAGACTACCTCTGAAAATTTCATAAAAAAGACAATTTTTTTTATGCTTTGATATAAGCAACAACAACACTGCATATTCATTGAGTATTTCATTTCATATGTTTGGATGGCTGTGTGTTTCATTGCCTTGTGTATATTGTTTTTGTTTCTTGGTGCATTCAGTTTCGTATGTTTGGATGTCTGTTGGTTTCATTGCGTTGTTTATTTTGTTTTTGCTTTTTTTATACCCACCATCAAAAAAGATGGGGGGTATATTGTTTTTGTCATTCCGTTTGTAACACATTGAAATATTCATCTAAGACCCATAATAGTATATATATTCTGGGTCCTTATTAGATTCTAAGACGATCTAGCCATGTCCGTCCGTCTGTCTGTTGAAAACACGATAGAGTCCAAACGGAAGTAGCTAGCGAGCTGAAATTTTGCATAGATACTTTTAGCTGATGCAGTTTGTTTGGTATTGAAAATGGGCGATATCGGTCCACGATTTCGCCTAGCCCCCATATAAGAAAATTACTTTATTGCTCATAACTGGTTAAAAGAAGCATCAATATCGGTAAAATTCGGCACCAACACGTTTTATATGAACATAAATCTCTTTGTAAAATTTTAGAAGAATAGGCCCATAATTGACCCTACCCCCCCCCCCCCCCCCCCATATAAAGTCCCCTTCACAAAATGACTTTAACGCTTGTAACTGTCTAAAATTAACATCTATAGCGGTGAAATTCGACAGGAACATATTTTATATGAACGTAAATCTCTTCGTAAAATTTTATAAGGATCGGTCCATAATTGACCCTACCCTCCATATAAGGTCCCCTTCAGAAAATGACTTTAGTGCTCATATCTGACCTTAAGAAGCATATATAGGTCCCTTTCAGAAAATGAGTTTATTTATAAGGAAGCATTCCTTTTCGGCAATATTTTGATGGTGGGTATACAAAAATCGGCACAGCCGAATATAACACTCTTCCTTGTTTTTTGAGTATTTCGTTTCGTATGTTTCATTGCCTTGTGTATATTGTTTTTGTTTTTTAGTGTATTCAGTTTCGTATGTTTGGATGTCTGTTGGTTTCATTGCGTTGTGTATTTTGTTTTTGTTTCTTTGTGTATTTCGTTTCGTATGTTTGGATGTCTGTTGGTTTTACTGCCATGTGTATTTTGTTTTTTTTTTGTGTGTTTATTTCGTTTAGCGTTGTTTTTGTTCGTTTTGTTATTGCTATAAACGGGAAAATGAAATAAATTAAAATTTTATAGAATTGATATTTTTTAAATACACAAATTATTTTTTAATTAGTTTTTGCAATTTATTGTTTTATTGTTAAAAAGACACGTGTTAAGTATTTTTCAATTGCAATTTGCAAAAATCATATCCTCATTGTGTGAAACTGTGATGTTATTTGCCGTAAAAATGTTTAAAGGAAAATAATGAGGCAATTTCAATATAAAAAATTAGTTTAGATTTTTAGAACAAGTGTAAATCAATGAAATATAATTATGAGATGTTTAATCAATAACATTAAAAACAAGTAAGAAATTATAGTCGGGCGTGGCCGACCATATGATACCCTACACCAGTTATGAATATTAAATGTGATTTATTTTTCATAATAAAGCATTTATCTTCAATATTCCCTTGTTCCGATACATTTAAGCAATTTATGGATGAAAGACTAATTTTCTGAAAGAGGCTTTATATGGGGGCTAGGGGCAAATATGGACCAAGCCCGATAAAATTTTGTGAATATATTTATATTTACATAATATTTTATTGTGCTGAATTTCATCGCGATATTTGTGTTTATAAGCTAATTTGGGACATTCAAGTAATTTTCTGAAGGGGACTTTGAATGGGAGCTAGGGTCAAATGTGGCCCGATCTTTATGAAATTTGGCAGGGTCATCAAGACTTCTATAAAACTTAGTTGTGCCGTATTTTATCGATATATCTGTATATATAACATAATTATGAGCTCAGAAGCCCTTTTCGGGGGGTTCTGTTGTATGGAGGCTAGGTGAAATAATGGACCGATTTTAACCATTTTCAATAGGCTTCGTCCTTAGGTCAAATAAAACGTGCGTGCCAAATTTCATCCAATTATCTTGAAAATTGCGACCTGTACCTTGCGCACAAGGTTTACATGGACAGCCAGCCAGCCAGCCAGCCAGACGGACGGACGGACGGACATAGCTTAATCGACTCAGAAAACGATTCTAAGCCGATTGGTATACTTTTAGGACGAATATTTTTGTATGTTACAAACATCAGCACAAATCCAATATACCCTCCCCACTAAAGTGGTGTAGGGTATAAATATATAATAGAGTAATTGATGAAATGATACAAAGAATTATTAGAAAAAACGCACTAAGTGGTCTTTCAAAATCTTTAACTGCCAAAGGGATGCGACTTGTATCCAAGGAAAACCATTGGACTCCTGATTTATCTTCTCCAAAATCCATATACGAACTGGGAGGAACACTATGTTTAAATATAGACCTCTAAACAGACCTTAGCTTGCTTGGAACCAATGTAAAGTGAACTGTCGTGTGGTACAGGAAAAATACCTAATTTAGATATTTTAAAATAGGGGTGGTTATCATCACCTAAGGTCAACAAAGGCAATATTTTTCAGCTAATACAAACACTTATATGTATTTAGAACCCAAATCAAGAATAACTATCCAGATCCAAATACGCCTACTGTATCTTATTCATAAAATAAAGCATTTAAAATATGATGTTGATCATCAAGATTTTAGCATGTAATAGTTCCATAGTGGTATGTGGTGATGTCCCCATACTTAGAGTGGCTAGGATGGTACTTAGTGTTAGATTTATTGAATAAGAATCAATATTCTACAATTCTAAATAAAATTCCGTAATGTAGTTTTTGTTTATCAATACGAAATGACCAAAAACCCAGATTATTTTTATACCTTCCACCACCATCGGTGGTGATAGAGGGTATATATAAGTTTGTCATTCCGTGTGTAACACCAAGAAATATTCATCTGAGACCCAACAAAGTATATATATTTTGGGTCGTTATGAAATTCTGAGTCGATTTAGCTATGTCCGTCAGTCCGTCCGTATGTCTGTCTGTCTGTGTAAAACACGCTCACGTTAAAACGAAGCAATGGAAATTAACGAAATTCAGCAGAAATATTTATTACTAGCTGAGCGTACCCGGCGTTGCCCGGGTTTCTTCTAAAATGAAGAAAATATTATTCTATCTGTTATGTATATACTTTTTTTAATAGATGTCAAAATTTAGCTTATAACGATAAAATAGTTTATAATTTTCTGCATTTTGTTTAATACTTAAAGTCAGTTTCTGGACAAAAATGTCCCTTAAAAATTTACAAATTGAAAATGAGCTTTAATTATGAAATTTTGACTTATTTTGTAGAAACATTTAGAAAAGTTTTTTTGAGAAATTATACTGAAATCAGCATTCTCAATCACTGGTAGGGAATTAAGGACACTTTCAAATTAGTTGTTTTATTTTTCCCATGTGCAGTTGATTTAAAGAACTGTTCAGTTTAAATTCGGTCACACTGTACTTTGAATTGTAGTGCCCCTGGTGTATAAAGACAAAAGGTTTCCGGGTATTTTATTAACTACAAAAATACGTACCATTAACCGTACAAAATTTCAATCGATTTTCTTTCTATTTGAAAAAGTACAGGCAATTGAAGAAACTCTGAAACGATTATGAAACATTCTGCACAAAATTATGAAAAATTAGGAGGATTTCAAATTCCTTTAAAAATAACAAAATTAAGTTTTTTTCTGTTCTAAAAAATATGAAGTATCCTTGAATCTTTACAGAGAAAACAAAACAAATTTTAATTTGACAAACAATTTTGAGTAGTTCATTAAATACCGTTTTTGTCTCATCATTGTTTCTCAAAAATACATCCATTTATACAAAAGTTTGTTTAAACATATTGGCCCACAATCATAGTCAAACTCTAAAGTCGGTTCTTTTCAAAAACAACTTTAATATTTAAACCTGTTACTAACTGTTTCTTAACTATAGTGCAAATTAATAATAGTTTTAAGTTGAGCCAGCTTTAAATGGGTGCTTAGTAAAGTGTTTGAAATTTTGCATACAATCTCTGCACAGCTGTACCGCAATTCTGTAATTTTTTAATTTTAACTACCGATATCATAAAGTAACGATAAATATCGGTTGCATTAACGAATTTTCAATTCTGTAACTTTTTAACGACCTTAGAATATTTTAACGACAAAGATCGGAAAAATATGAGAATGTCAAAAGTTTTGTATTGAAATATTTTTAAAATATAAAATTATTAACGTGAACTTTTTATTTGTCGTTACATTGCCGATACTTTTCGTTATGTTTAACGAAAAAAATCGGTAAA